AAAGGAACGTATCGTACTTTTGCGGTTCGTTTCGCCGTTATCGTGGATGCATAGCATGAAAATCAAACGCGACGAACACGCTCAATTTCGCGATCAGTTGGAAGATCGAGACCTTTGGGAGGAAAACTGAGTCGAGGGTAGCTGAAGAGAAGAGTAGAAGATCGTAGAAGCAGAACTCAAAGAAACTATTCCAGCAGATGCATCGTTCGAAGAACTAGTTCCTGGAGAAGGCTGGATTAAACAGAATCACCTTCATGCATAAATGAATGACAAAAAAAAACCCCACATAGAAAGTTCAATGACGCATCCATCCCAGCGAGTTTTTATATTCTTCGATTCGATTCGATTCGGTTCGATTCAATTCGATTCGACGTTTACGGAACGTGAATTGGCGTAACCGTTCGAGGATTCACGTGCGGTTACGTTTGCGCGACCACAAGTTCTCTTGGACACACGTTCGTGAAGGTGGATTAAATTAAAGATCTCTAAGATCCGTAAAAATTAAAACCCCCTAGAGCGTTCTCGAGTTATATCGTTAATTATAAATTACCTGATCATTAGTGTAATTATGTGGCTATGGGCCATCGTTTTACAAATTGGACAGTTTACAAGGACAGGCTAAATATGACAGGCTGATATAAGAAAGGGGTTGTCCAGTGATTTTCCAGGAAATATCGTGTTCTCAGTAAAATCTCGCCAATGTATGAGATCCCGAACGAATTTCTCGCTGCAAAGTGGCGTCAAAATTAATGAGTTACCGAGAGATGGACGAGTTTCTGCTCGAAGAAACACAAGGGGACATCGTGTGAACGTGACAGAAAGAGAGGTCACGACTAACGCTAATTGTAAACGAAGGCTGAAAAGGAAGTCTCGTCATACGCTAATTAATTAACTACGAGGAAGAAACGAGCCCCCGGGACGAAAAATTCATCTTGCCGAACAAACTTCTCTCCTTTGCTGTCTTGCACCGACTTTCATGGAAACGACTAATTAATTTCCATCAATTACCTGTTCTGTTTTTTTTGATTTTATCATATTTCCGCCATTCAAGATCGGAGCCTATATCGTTGAAGCCTCGTTACAAACGATTTTATCGAAAATAGAACGAATCAGAAGAAGAATGGAGGAATCATAAATACCTGGTCGTGGACAGCGTAAGGTTCAAAGGTTATTTCAAAGGTTGTTCCGAGTTACCGTGGAAAATTTCCTCGGCTTCGAAGACAAACGACGATGACTCGCGGGAAATCAAAATAGAAAAAGGCATTACGTTAGGCGAACCTTTTGAAAATGACAAACCGTATAAAGCATCAACGATCGAGAAAGGTGGAGCATGTTTAGTTTGCTCGAGGCATTCCCCGAGGCTTCGCTCTTTGGAACAAGAATACAGAAGAAAACCATTCGTTTACGATCGAAACCCTTTGTTTGGACACCTTATCACACCTACGTTTGTACGGATATACAATACGAATTCGTGGTTTCTCGTATTTTCTTGATTTTTTCTTTCATTCCCGAGTGCCAACTCGCGAAACGCTAGCGATAAAGTTGTTGGATCAGGAATAAATGCGTTTGAATTTTTGCCAACTATTTATGTATATCGAACTCGTGAATATGTAACGGGCAACGTTACAGGAGATTCGTAACGAGAAATCCTGAGGTTTACGAATGGTAAAGAAATTCCGAATACGTTGTATTCGTTGAGTTGTGAATTTAATTAAATCCCGGTTTTTTAATCAGCTGAAGTCGGGGCTTATTGATCGGCTACGAAGTAGCTGTTGTCATCGCGTAACGCAAAAGAGCTGATTCATCGATGCGAATATGAAACATTGATCGGTATCGGTGATCAAAATCAGGAAATATAGGTGCACGGATAGGCGAGATAAAAGGGACACGGCTATCGTGCATGCAAATGTAAATGAGATCGATGATCCGTGATTGGTCACCATTTATCCGTCAATAGCTACGGTGGGTCGTCAGAGGTGGTTTCGGTGCAGCAGCATCCGTTCCAGTTATCATTAAATCTCCGCCGCTTCGACAGAACTCGTCGACCAATTTGTGGTCGTGCCGAATCCTGTAGTCGGACTTGCTTCCTCTCTGTGGTCACATTTACCCAAATGTCTTTGACCAATACATACATGCATGCATTTTATTTGAAAAATGCGATCGAGAAGGCAAAGCGGGGACAGGAGCATGGAATCGGAAAGTAGAAGAAGCCTCGGTCGAAGATCAAACGTCATAAGCAGTGTAATCGCCCACTCGGCGTCAGACGCAATGGGCAACGAGAACGCGCCACTTGGTATTTCCGCTTAGCCGTGTAGGAGGATCGTTGACACGTACACAAACGCGACCCTTAACCCCCTTAAATGTACACCGCTCGATATTAAACCGTTTTCCATTCTCCCCTCTATCCAATCCTCTATTTCCCTTTATTCTTTCATCTCTCCTTTTCTTTCCTTCTCGATCCTCATCGCCAGCGTCCTTCTTTTTCAATCGTTTTCCTGCTTTTACTTGCGCGGAATCAAAGCACACCAGCTCCACGCGTTACCGAACTTTTCGCTGACCAAGAGCTTCCCGTAAAACGTGGCAATTTAACCGTTCTATCTTGATCGAGTCCTGGTCGGAAGGAAATTGGCGAAACGATTCTGCGTCGGGCTCTTCGACGAGACCATGGGAAAATTGGTCGACCGAGGAAAATTTTCTACCAGGGAACTCGATGAACGGTATCCTGGTTGCACGCGCGCCACGTGTACGTACACGCGAGACAGCGCGAAACCGAGCAAAGATCATCAAACTCGCATAGAAACTTTAATTACTTCTCGCGATGAATTGCCGGATTGTGCAGTAAACTTGGGGAACATGGGCGTGCACCTGCGAACCGTTTCCGGCTCCTTCGAACCGTCGCGCCGACGGAAACACCAATCCCGCTGACGTCAGATGCTACTTCGCATGAACCGTACCGCAACCCTGCTATCCATCTAACCTCGGCAGAATGCATTGTTTCTCAACGGAGCGACTGGTTCTCGATAAAAAAAGAAGAAGAAAAAAAAAAAATCAATTGACCCGCTTTCGCGTCGACATCGCAACCCTTACCTTTGTACGTTAGCTAGGTAACAGAGCGGGAGCATTGGTCGAATGCGCGTTTCACCGGCTCGAATTATCGCGGCATTGTCCGAGTTGTTATACAACCCAGGAGGCAGACATCTCGCCGCGAACGGACCGGCAAACCGTAGCATCCGTTATTACGAGGTATTGTTGCAGACCAGCCGTTTCACGATTAACTCTTATCGCGAGGTTCGTTCGACAGCGTTTCACTGAAAATCTCGTTGTAGCTTTTTTCCCCCCCTTTCCTTGTTTCACGAAACGAACAATTCGTGGAATTGTTCGAATGTTTCTCGTCGACGAAATATTCAGCTGTAGTGGCCGCGTTTAAACGACACCTTGAACCGTTTTCCGATTTTCCAACGGAAAACGGACGAATCGAATATCGTTCGGCCGATAGAATATCACGAGTGGCGCAAAACCGCTTTCGATCGAGCGACAGTATTCATCCCCCGGTGTACAATGACCACTGTCACTCACAATGATCGAGTAATCACCGTGGACTGATCGTGAGCTGACCGTCAGCTGACCGTGCGCGTTCCTACGCTCTTGCCACGGACCACAACACACAATCCACGACAACCGACTACGAATACGAATTTACTTTCTTCCATGGCATCGCGATATTACTCTGTACTTCGTCAAATTCTGCTCTAAGCCTCGCTTCATTCTACTTTCTTACTAACTTCTCTTATTATTGGTATAATTTTTTACTACGAATTTAGTATACAATAAAGCAGGAAGTTGAGTAATTAAATGTAACTAATGGCGTTGAACAGTCAGGCGATAAAAAATCTATTATTATCGCATTTTACGCGAGGAATTGTAATAAAAGTTGAATTTATCCAATCGACCGTATCGGAATTATTAAAACGGTACAAAGGAACGGGCAACTCGAACAGGTTGCAAAATTAATTAGAACAGATATTTATTGCAAAAATATATAGCTCACTATCTAGGTCAATATAAATTGGATACGAATTGTTGTATCGATCGTGTCGTTATGGAAATATGTGCTTATTACTTACATAGTTATGTAAATTATAGGATGACGTGGTAAATCTTCGAGAGGTTAGGGAACTCTCCTGATGTGACTTGCGGCGACTCGTATGTATGTTTTTGTGGGCCTGACAAGTTTGTAATCTTTGAATCACTATTTTTGTAGAAAAATAGGTGTTTTGATAAGATTGACACCTTTATTAATTATATGTAACCGCAAGAAAGGCGTTGCGAGCAGATGGACCGAACGTAAATACGTAAAATTGCAATTATCGCGACCGACGCAAAATACAACTAGCTTCAGGGCATTGAATGTGCCTCGGTCGCCGCGCGTTGATTGGCTCGCGGCTAGGGGACCTGGGAGCCAATAAACAAAAAACGCGAAAAAACCGCAAGGCCAATTTGAATGGCGTGATCGATATAAATCTGGTATGTACAATGATGCGATAAATATTTTCAGTACATAGGCGTACCTACTGTATACGGTAGTAACGTTTGTTATAAGAATGCAGTTGAAAATCTCAATTTATCAATAGGTACAATATCAATCATAGTGTCCGTTCGTCTAGTGAAAAAGCACTGATTTTGGAGTCCAAGTTTAACCGCAGCAAATATCATAAATCTAATTATTTAATAAAAGCGTTAAAGTAATTAACATAATCATCTGATAAAAGCTTTAGAATATTTATTTGCTGCAGATAAACTTGGACTCCAGGGTCAGTGCTTTTTCACTAGACGAACGGTCACTATGATTGATACTACTTTTGATATTGGCATCGCATCAAATGGTTAAAAAAAAAATAACTAGTTCGTGTAACAGGATTTTTTTGGCGGGAAAACGGCAGGGAAGCTATTAACTGTTCGTGGAGTGTCGCGGTATATTCTGGAGAGTAGAGGCACGCCGTGGCTAGGAAAGAGGATTATTACATTCCTGAATATACAAGCAGTTTCTTTTTAATCCTGGCACGCGTTTAATAAGCGCGGCGCATTGTTCGTTCTGTCAGACTGGAAGGTGGTTGTTAACGTTGCCGCTCGGAGCGACTCATTTCTCGCTGCCCGTAAAGATCTTAAAAACTTCTCGCGGAAATGACCGCGAGAGAACGCTTTTCGCCATATTGTCGCTTCTGTCCGACCCATGAAAACACCGTTCGTGTTAACTATTGCAATTAAAGTGCGGAATAGCTGAGTACTCTCGCCGCTGAGCCTGTGCGTTGTGCGCGTTCTAATTGTTCACTGTTTTTCATTAATAATTCTAAAACATAACTTTATCGTGGTGAAGTAAAAAGTTGTTTAAAATCATTCCAATTATCATCCCCACAACGGACGTCAACTCATAGCCGAACATCCCGTACGCTTTGTATACAACGAACATAGGTAAGTAAGCTGTTATATTAAACAAATTAACAATAAATAGGAAGCAGTTTTCATCAAAATAATCTAAAATATGTTTTTGACTTTGACTAATGCGATGATATGTCCAAGAGGATATTATTTCGACAGAGTGGAATACAAACACTAACCTAACCTAACCAAGACAATTAATGTCTTTTTGACAGTATTTTGCATTTAATTATTGTTGTTGTTATTATTATTATTAACAATTATTCTTATCATTATTATTATTACTATCAATTATTCTATCATCATTATTATTGTTATTATCATTGCGTAGATAGTGATAGCGCAAACTATAGCCCATACCAGTACATTTTGCTTGTGTCCCACTCTACTGAAATAATACCTCCAAGAGTATTCAAGATAATTTATGAGATTTTTAATATATCTATCACATAGTGATAGATTTTTGAATAATTCGAATATTTCCTAATTAAGCTGTTTCGCGAAATTTGCATTTCATAAAAGACGTACCTAAGTTTACCTGGCGACAATGAAACGCATTAATTGGCAGACGGTGGCACTATAAGTGCATACCGTGCTAGCAATGCTATTTGTATCCACGATCGTATCCTATACAACTCCATTTATGCGTGTACACACAGCTGTACCAATGCATGAGTAATAAGGGGATCGATCGACAGCCATCTTGAAGCTGGTGCTATCCAATTGAGAAAGTGAATTGCACAAGCTAATCACCGATACCGATATTCAAAAGGAAGTACCATCGATAGTTTCTCGCAGTGCAACGGAAAATAATGTTGCCGAGTAAATGATTGAAATTTTTCTTGATTAGATAATTTAAATAATTAGAGACAATTAGACTATGCTTAGTTTAAAGTTGTGTAGGACAGTTATAGTCTTCATAGAAATACGAATTTGAATGAATTCAATTCCACTTTTGGTCATTTTTCACAAACTTCTTGCTCTCTGTTTACATCCAAGACAAATATTAAATATTAATATCGAATTCTCTATTTTCGCGGCGCGAATATCATTCGGTTGCTGAAAGAGCACATTTCAAAAGTTTTTATCGGTCGTACGAATAACCGTGAAAGGTGGATGGAACGGTTCAACGGTTCGCCGGTTCGTCAGGATAGAAATAAAAGGCCATTTCCGTTGGTTTTATGTATTTCACTCGTAATAAAATAAGACTCTTTTTTACGAGACGCGGTAACGAAAACGTTGCGTGGAAAAATCACAATGGTTTGGACACTGACTGAGCTAAATTCAGGATTTTTCTGACGGTAACGAACGAATAAGCCGGGTGTACAATGAACACCGTTAGAAATATCGGTAATATCCCTATCGTTGGGAAACGCCGAGATTCGGAAAGGTATTATTCATAAATAACAATGATGGCTTACCTATAAAGAGGCTCGCCGCTGTCCTCTTTGAACCAAAGCACCATAGAAACCGCGTCGTTCGGCTCACGGGGTTGTATATTGCAAGGCAAAGTTGCTCTTTGCCCCGCCACACCCTGTATCGACTCCATCGGTACTGAAACACACATTTTGAAATAACGTTGAAAACTTCTCCTCGCTGTGTTTCGAATTTTGAACGAGCTAAACCAAAAGATATGATTTCGGGTAAATGTTACTCTTTCAAAGAGTAATATAAATATATCGCAAGTCAAATGGACGATTTCGAAATATATAAAGCTTGGCACAAATTTCTGCAAACCAATGTCACTTATAGTATATCAATTTAAAGTTTCAACTCACAATCAGTTGAAAATGATTGAAATGATTTTCTGTAAACAAAATTATTCCAACTATAATAATTGCCTACATTAGTTTCATTTAAAACAGAATTTATTATTAATTTTTGTTGCATTTTTTTCGAGAAGAGGCAAGGTGAAACATACCGATGTCTCGTTTAAAAAGCTTTTATAGAAATCGCTGGTGCCGAGGGGTTCTCGAGTAGCACCTTTGAGAGAGAGAGCTATGGATATTTCGTCAAAAAGGAAAAAAAAAGAATAAGAAAAATTTCCTATGATCCATTGCCGCCGCGGAATGGAAAATATCGACAGTTAATAGGGTGGAAATAATTTATCGTTCTCTGCTATTCAGACTTTCCCCCGTATATTATAAAACGATTAACGTTACGCTTCTCGGTACGTGAAATACGCTTTGACATTGCCAGAAATTGTGCTTATAATTTCGTTTCGTATAGGCGATTAATTATTTTTCAAGTCCCGAAGACGCTTACGAAGTTGTTTTTACATTTATGAATTATGCAAAACTATTAAGGAAACGGCATGTAATTTATTTACGTTTCTGTATAAGTTTGAATAGAAATACGCGTTTAAAGTGCATGAATTTGAAAGAACGAAAGGATGTTGAGAAAGCAGGTGCTTAAGCACTGTACGTAAGGCACACAGTTTCGTCGACGAGCACTTTCGGCAATAATGCAGATTTTTGTCGAACGAAACCGTAATTACCGCCTTGCAACAGCTCATGAATAATCCTTATACAATTTGATTCATTTTTCCTTTGGAAATACGTTTCGGCCCGGTTGAAATGCCTCAAAATCACCACTCGATTCTTTCTCGTTGCCGTCGTAATTAGCCCGATATTAATTGCTCGAGAACGACTCGTAAATTAACATCGATGGCTTGCGAATATTTACGATCGGCCTCGTAAATCTCGTCCAGTGAAAAGCGTTCGTTGTTTCGTTATTTATAGGGCCGTTGATTCCACACTGTTTGATTGTCCGATATAGACGCGCGTGTATCCCTATATTTTACAAATAAATAAATAAAGTGCCTACGCGAATATATTCGAGGTGTGTACATATTCGATACAGATACGAACAATACAAACATTCAAAGGTAATTGGGTTTTGTAATGAAATTGTAAAACTGCATCGATGTATAATTAACTCTAAAACGGAGAAGCTGGATCAGTCGTGAGCCACACCTATTAAACGTATAGAAAACGAAACAAAATCCCTCGTCGAACGTTTTAAGAACGTATTTCCGTTGAAACGCTTTCGATACCCCAATTCTCCGATTCCCAAATTTTCCAATTTTCCGATCGTAAATTTCGACTCGCGGTGTCGGCCAAAGGCAGCCAAGATCCAAAAAGCGACACGAGGCGCGCCGCGCCGCTCCTTGCAGGATTTTCAAACGAATTTCTGCGTTACCACGTAACAGTTTGTGAAGACACGTACTTGCATAAAGTCGTTGTAACGCGGACGTAAATGCAATACGTGTTTCCCGGGCAAAATGCATAGAGAGACTTGAAACGTCCCTTCTCGTCGTCGACGAGCACCGAGGCGACATCGACTTAAACGAATTTCACCGACAAACTCCGCCGTGACGTTGTCATTTTCCCGTGAAACTCATTTTACGCGGTCGCCAGAGAGTTGGTCGCGGTAGGTATCCGTGATTCCGCTTCAGGTTTCAACGTGTCTCATACCCTTTTCCCTTTTCTCTTTTTACTTTTCCTTTTGTTTCGAACACGGTTAAGAAAACATCACGTTATTAGGTTTGCTCGGTGTAATCAGAAGTACTCGTATTCTTTACCCCCCCAGATGCATCGCAATCCCTTTCATAAACCGCTGCGCCGGTTCTTGTAACATTCCTTGTGCGTGTTGCGAATACTGATTAGAATAAACAGTCAGCTAGCGACGCGATAGCACGATACAATTACAATGCCTCTAATTAATAGAGTAAAAAAGTTGCGACGCGTTGGTTATGCTTTTTATCAGAGAACATCTTGCGAAAATGTACAATGATATACCTACACCCGCTTAATTTTCGCGTAGAACATTGAAAGTAAAAGGTAAAATTTTTGTTTGAAATTCATCGAAGAAACTATGCTCGCTTATTGCGCGTTTCGCCTGTATCAGCTCGAGCTGAAACTTTTAAATAAGACCCATCAATTTAAAGCGTGGAACAATGCAGGCTCTAGTTAATTACGAACTTTCGTACGCTTTCTGCTCGCAGTCCTCCAGGACAACGAAAACTAATTAATACGGTTCAAAAACCATTAGGCAAAGCAATCTTGCATTGTACGCGAAGGACTTTTAAGCGAGCGAGAATTTAAATTAAATTCTTCAGAAAACAATGATGCTGCACGCCACCGTCAAGCGGTCATATAATAAACCGGCTCTGCTTCTGACACTTCTGTTGATGAGTATAATTACCGCGACGCTAAACTCGGACCAGAATTTTGAGCCAACATCTCTCGTCCACCTCCGACCATGCCCCGGCCATTCATCCCCTACTATTCCGTAAATTTTTGTTACGTAGCTACCTTTCATCCTTTATCTCCTATCCGTTATCCGTTTCACTTCCGTTGCAATTTCACCGATGCTCATTTTTCTTCGAGTCAATTTGCCTTAAACGAGTTATAAGTTGCTTCGCCCGTAAGTTTTCGCCCAGGACCCAGGTTAATTAATGACAAAGGTAGCCGCGCGATGAGTTACTTTCGCAAGCCTTTGAATCGATTAGCGAAACCTTTTAAAATATTCTGCAAGGAAACGATGTTTCGTCTATTTCTTCTTTTTTAAGAATGCCTAAACCGTTTGTGGTTATTAATGCTCGTTGCCAAAGGAACTATGCTAGTCGATCTTTTCAAGCAGAAGAAATTTCGACAGCGAGGGGGTGGACGGTGGGTAGAAGGGCAAGATACGAAGAATCATTTCCGAGTCTGGTGAAATTCCGTATTTAGCGGAATGCCTTTCATTCGGAGGCGGGGCTAGCCAAAAAGAATGGACCAAGCAGAATATCTTTCTGGTTCTTTATGTCCGGTCGCTGAGACGGAATACCGACTTGGCGAGAAACGGCTCGTAAAGGTTTCGCTGCAGCTGGCTTGCATACATTACGAGCCTTTATTCCTCGGCAAAAGGAAAATGGAACGGGCCCGGGGTTTGGCGAAAGTTTTGAAAGATGGCTGGCAGAGAAATCTAGCTATCAGCTACCTACCTTGAATCGGATCGTGGTATCTCGACAAAGAGGTACGGTCGGAAAA